GGGGCTGGGTGTTAGACAGACGCATTCCTCTACCTTGCATAGCCAGAAATAAGCCCTGTGAAGAGGGAAGACTGTGCGTAAGACTAGCATTCCCTCCCACCCCCTAATAAAATAAACACCAGTGCCACCAAAACTTCAAAGCTTAAAGCCCTATATTCCACTTGGAACGCAAAGGAATATTTCTTATCACAGTAATGGAATAAAAGGTATAAATGCGGCATAGGTACTACGTGAATTAGCTCTGTCGTCGTCGAAACTATTCCCAACAGGTGGCAGATTTATATCAACAGGTGCCAACTTCGCTGGCTCCATACTGAAGATCGAATAGCCAGTTGCCCAGAAACAATTAGCAACAAGAAACTATAGGAACAAACAAACCAAGAACCGATCGCTCAACAAATATGTAGGAGAAAATGGAGATGAACTGGGCATTCGCTGAGGAGATAGTCGAATGCCATCACGCGCAATGTAGGCCACAGCTTGATTAGAATCGAAATGGGAATTGACTAGTAGGTTATAGATGCGAGGGTGACATGGAGGAGATCGTATGACTAGGAGGAGATGAGAGATTATGGGCGATCGTGGAATCAGCTGAAGAGGACAGCGTATAATAGAAGAAAGTGGAGGTGTGTTGTTGAAGCCCTATGTTCCACTTGGAACCCAAAGGAATAATAATACACTAACTCAAGCAGCTAGTTGGAATCAAACAATCCACCAATTGAAACTGTATTCAATTTGTGAGCCAGCATAACGAACATTCGACTTTATATATAGGAGTCATTTTCCCGACAGGTGAGTTGTTGAACCCTACTAGCTATGTCATTCCAATTGACTGAATAAGTGGTAACGTACCCTTTCGATACCTGATAAATATGGACTCAGTCTCTCACTCTGTTATAGGTGTAAACTGTTGGAGATTTCTAAACTGGCATAAATTAGCTATCCAATGTTTATTGTGCTTTTTTTTATAATTTCTTTTTAGCTGTTGATTTAGAATGGAATGTATCTTCAAGTTGGAATATCAGAAAAATTTATCCCACACACAAAAAAGAAATAAAAATAACACGCACTTCGTAAGTAAACCATTTCATGTTGAGTATCACTGAAGATATTGAGTGCATTATTGTCTAGTCATATTTGACTAATCAATCAATTTATAAAGGAGTATCAAAATAAGGCGTAACAGAAGGTACAACTAGATATTTTGAATAACCAGACGCAATACACACGTACACACACACACAGAGAGAATCACAGATCCTGTCAATAAATGAGAATGATATAAATACTTGGAAAAAAAGATCGATCTTCTTTGAAGTTAGTCTAAACACGAACAATTCAAGATTATTTACCTCAGTTAAAAACAGTCAGTTCGCTACTAAAATTAGGCATGTACGTGTGATTTTTGCACTTGTGACATTGACCGATTACCTTTCTATTTCTATATAGATAAATACATTACAGTGACTGAAACAACTCCATTGTTACTAGGATTTTAAAGCACCAAAGAAATCACCTTCTTCATTACTCGAATAGTTGAAGACTCTTTAATTTGAAAATGGATGATTTCGACAGGAGAAGAAAGCCTTCGTGTAGCCAGTCAGCCAGAGTGTGTGTTTTAATTTGACGAAATCCCAGCAAACCAACACTTGAATGAATCAATCTGATGCTCACTAGAGACTGCCTCTATTCAGGTGGTTAGTCACCTGGGGTCTAAATAGAAGTCACGATCAGTGGAGTACAACAGGTCGGGTATGAGGACAAATACTAGCCATGGATGATGTTGGCTAGTGGTCATGCTATGTCGTGAATCGGGAGAAGCTGAAATTCATGGGATAGCTATTGGGTTGGGTGCCAGTGGCTTAATGGTCTACGAGATTGCTTTGTAACCAGAAAGTCCTGGATTCGAACCCTGGTAGGTGCGAAGTGACAAAGGGTCCCAAACCAGGATAAAACAGTTAGCTGTCCAGTACTTCCTGGTTTTCAAGGGTTCTCTAACCGATGTCAGTTCATGATGATATCCTGTAACCAACCAAATCCTCCAACCAATCAAATAATTTTTAAGTTGTGGACAGAAGTAGACATATCTTGCGTTGAATGCAAAATTGCATGAAAAATTCAGTGTAACAGAGGATCAGTCGTTCTACAGATAGTTTGGTGAGAAAGTTTCCGACTTTTTGTGGATTCACAATCCTCAAGTATCTTCCAAAGAGTGACAAAAGAGGATAACATAGACCTCATGGTTACTGTGGATAGATTGCTACTCCACTTGCTTGGTGTACACTGGCTTAAAAATTAACGACCATTTAACTATGTTTATGAAAAGCATGATTTTTATTAGAAATACCGTATATCAATTAATTAATCTATTACATTTATGTTAACCACTCATGTCAAAAGAAACGATTTTTCTACATTGGAAATACTGAGTAAATCTAATAATTGAATATGTACAGCTTATAATAAAATCTGAGTATGGGATCTTTTATATTTCTGTTCTAAAAGCCTGACACCTGAGTTGGCATAAACGCATTTATCTCATAAGGTTAAGTGGCATAAAACAAAACTGATTAATTTCAAACTAGCTGTTATCATTCAAGATATTCGCTACAAAGCATGAAAACAACCTGAGGCGCTGTACGGTAATTCTTCTACAAACGTATACCAGTTACACTATACAAACTCCATTCTACTCAGTACCATTCTAGTAGTCCTCTAAGTCTTACTCCCAGTCGTTTATTAACATATTTTTGCGTAGTCTTCTATAGTCACAATACGGATGGGCAGTACATTCGAATAGAATCGCCGCTTTGAACTCTCTGACTTTAAAACTAGACGTATGACACTAGTTGCTCCCCAATAACCAATCAACATAATCATTACAATCCTACAGGAAGCCGATCATGGTCAAGAATGGTTAAGTGGTGATATTCCTGATTGCATCATTGGATGATATGGTGTGAAACTTCAGATAAGACATTATTTCTTACAAAGTTCTTGTTGCACCTTGTTAACAAATTCCAAGAAGTACGAAACCTAGGTTCTAACCACCTAATACATCAATTCAGAGTACAGAGTTATATTTTATTCGGATTCAGTGCTTAAAATATTCTATAGGCTGTAACTAGATATAATCTGTATATTCATAATAGTAGAGTATGACAGATAGTTTTAGCCAAAAAAAATTAAGATCCACGAACTCCTGCTATTCATGAAGACCGCATTTTAAAAATGCGAATGCATGGAAAACTCAGTTTCAATAATACGTGTAAACTTGACTGTCAACATTAAAAATTTTCTAACTATTTCGGGCCTACTTCCTTAACCTTTGAAAATGTTTTTTTGATTCCTTACTTTATGAGTGGTTCCAAGCTTTTTTAAATTTCAGTAGTGGTTGTGTCGTTTTTAAGGGTTGAGGTTATTAGTCCCATACCCAAACTTCCTTAATTTCTGGGTTAACTATTAACTAGTAAACTAGGCAAGACTTAGTGGTGCATCGTAGGTGTATCGAACCCTGGCTGGTAAGCATCCTACGACTGAAAATCCTACGCTTTAAAAATTACAGACAGTCTTATTCAAATGCTTCTTTAAAACAAATATGGAATAAAACAAAAGCAGTGGGCGGCTTTTATCATGAAACTGGCTTATTTTTATTATTTTGTGTCTTCTCATAAACTACTGGTAACCCAGAATTAAAATTCATTTCCTAATAATTGATAAATACATTTCATCATGAGCTTACATCATTTAGAGAACCACCTGAAAACCTGGGAGTACTGGACAGTTAACCCTTTCATCCTGGTTTGGGGACCTTCAAAGTAAGCACCCATCACGAGGGTTCGAACGCAGGACCTTCTGGTTACACGGCGATCTCGTAGACCATTAAGCCACTGGGATCTGATCCAGTGGCCAGCCCATGAATTCTAACAAAGCGCGACCACTTTGTAATGTCTTCTTTGATGAGTAACTGCTCTGGACTTCAACCTGCTGTTCCCTACTGGTCACGGCTTCCTACTAGAACCCCAGGTAACTGCCTGAATAGGGCTAATCGCTGGTGAGCTTCTGTGATTTATTGTTCCTGTTTGATGTACTACTTTCAGGTAATAATATTATCTTTTCTTATCTTCCAGTGGTCCTCTAACTGATGTCAGCTTATGATGAAATCCTCCAACCAATCAAACAAAACCTCTATAGAACCAGTTAACGTGTGTTTGTGTGTATGTGTGTGTGTGTTAAAAGCAAGGTTGAGCCAAACATTTAGCGAAATGTAAATTTTAGTTTTTTTGTTTCCTACCAGATATTTTCAAATAACTATACTTCAATTAACTAACTAATTATCAACGTTCTCGATTACGTAAGATTATTCACTGCTTTCCAGACACTGTTATTTCTCATAAACTATGTTTTATTTTTGTTACTAACCGACAATGACCTCTGACCCATTTTCTCAACTAACATTGTACACGTAAACCGTTGAATAATTATTATACAGCTTTGTAAAGAAGTTATAAAAGTAGATCTGTCTGATGACTTATGTGTTCTTAATTTATACAACACAGGAATTTTTCAAGTCCTTAACTTTGTCACTCTTAAAACCCAGTGAAAAACAAGTACTGTTTGAAGTCATCTAGGCTTTATAAATATCACTGCAAAAACAATAGAACTTGATAGCTTGTTCATTATCATAATAGCTTTTGTTGCTTTGGTTACTGAACATCACTTTGCCTACGCTTTTAATCACTAAGTATGTTCATATAGTCATCAATACGTTACAAAACTCTTTAGTCTTAGTCTGTACTTGAAGAAGTTTTGTATCTGGTGATCTCATTGAGAATATTATCTGTGCTAGTCAGAGATTGTAAATTTTACTTCATAATCTCATTTTTATTGCTCATCATTAGTTTAATTCATTTTTCAACCCATACAAAAACATAAGAAAACGTATAGTAGTATAATGAAAAGTAAAATGGTATAAGCAATGTAAGTAAGTGAAGACTTACTTTTTTATTTTTCAGTTTAACACTACGATCAACAGACTCAGCATTAGGTTCACTCGGTTGAGTACGTTTATTAGGAAGTAGGAAATCTACTGCTTTTGGTGCATTTGGAAGTATTAAAGAATTTGGTCTTAAAGTGGCATCCTTTCTGATATGTTTATCATCAATTTTTATTTTTCTATCGATATTGGTAGATAAATTATCTCTACGATCTGGTGTTGAATAATCCTCCTTGTGGTTGATTTGTTTAGCGGAAGTTCTATTCAACTGGATATGTACTTCTTTTGGTGTATTATTAACATTTTCAATAGAAAGTTTATCCACCACATCAAGACTATTCATATGCATTGATTTTTCAATATGTTTAGTATCTGATAGACGAAAAGTGTTGGAATTTAATAGAATATCCTTATTTGTATTATTAAATTTATTCACTGTGTTAACAGAATCACTTATCGATTCAACTTCTTGAGTTGATTGTTTTTTCTTTGGACTTGTATTCTGAGAAATTTCCACAGTACCATTTTGTTTAACGACTGACCTTCTGCTTAATTGATGACTTCGTGTATCTTTTAGTATAAATGTTGATTTGATTCCTTTTTCTATTGAAGTCATGAAAAAGAAAACATAATAGTATAAATTAGATTTGTTGATGATGTCAATAATAACTGGGTAATTGTTTAAATTTGTCAAATTTCTGTCCAGCGAACTTTCGAAAATTGCGCACACTTTTAAATGTTGAAAGGTAGGACTATTAAATATTCCCTCCTGTTAGCTAAGTCATGTAGGTTTATGAAAGCCCAATGAGCTACTGATAAGGCTTTAGTTGCTGTAGTAGACAGTGTGACGAAGTTACTTATTCTTATGTTAATTTCGATTAATTTCCCTGAAGAAGTTCGGACCAGATTACCGAACGAAACGTTGGAATTACTCATTTCAATCTCGCTGAGACTTTACAAATATAATTTTTTACAAATGTCTACTTCTCACTCGGCGCCCAAATATTTTAGAACTATTCTGTCAAATCTTGAAAACAGTTCATTTAAATTTATAATTGTTTCAGTAATTTCAGGATTTCATCATGAACTGACATCAGCTAGAAAACCATTAGGAAACCTTCGAGTACTGAACAGCTGTTTCGTCCCAGTTTGGAGCTCTTCATCGGGACGAACTCACTGGGGCTCGAACCCAGGACCTTCCACCGACGACATCGGCTAGTGGTCACGCTATATCGTAAATTGGAATTCATGGACTACTGGATCAGGTCCCAGTGGCTTAATGGTCTGGGAGAAAGCCTTGTAACCGGAAGGTCTTGGGTTCGAACGATGGCGGTGGACGCGTACTGCTGAAGAGTCCCAAACTATGACGAAACAGTCGTTCAGCACTCCCCGGTTTTCAAGGGTTCTCTAACTGACATCAGTTATTGATTAAATCCTATAACCAATCAAATAAAATCCTTACAGATCAACACTTGAGTGTTCAAATAATTGTTTGTGGGTCAGCCATTAAACTTATTATTATATATTATTGTTGAGGTAGCGCTCAGTGGTGGTACCGTAGCCAGTTATGTTTGTCAGAAGCACGGTTACTGCCAGTTGAAAATAACTCAGTGCTTCTGTACGGCTCAGATACTTGGTGTTCACGTCACGTAAATCATTTCAAACAGGCGAAGATAGACTATTACTAACAGCTACCTTCGTTCCACACTGAAGACCAGATGGCTTACCACAAAGGATAGGCAGCAACTAACTCTGATAAGCAGCGAACCAAACAGCAACCTATTGCCGAATAAATCTGCAGAAGGAAATGGAGATGGACTGGATACACACTGAGAGGACCTTAAGGTCACATGCACACCAGACCCTCGGGTGGAACTGGAGTGGGAAACTGCTAGTTGGACGTCCATAGGTAACATGGATGAGATCGTGGGAAGAGGAAAATAGAGCCTATAGACAGCCGTGGGGCCAGCTAAAGCGGACTACAGAAAACAGGATGAAAAAAACATTTGCTGCTGAAGTCTTATGTCCCACTCGGAAACCAAGGAAATAATAATAATGATAAGTAATAAGTCAAACAGTAGATGGCTTTTTTGATAATATTTATCTGCTAAAAAGAAATAAATCTTGTTGTATTACTGAAGAGTTTAGTGATTAAAAGTACTGGAGAGACTATACAAGCTAAAGATTCGGGACAACTTCTAATTATCAAAACAACCAGGTCAAGTGACATCAAGCAAGAAAGCAAAGTAATAAGTCAGTTAGATCTGATTGATTTCCTTATCATATTAGATACAATCAACATCGTCTACAAAAGCAACTGAGGCTAATATCCACAGACTAGACTCTTGTTCTAGTTCGAAGTACTTCAAAAGTGTATACCTCTAACTAATTAGCCATTAGAGAGTCATGTGTATTATAAGTCACTTAAATCGATTCCGACCTCTCAGTTGGGTTGTAAACAGCCCCCTATAAGATCAATAATACCTGGGTCGATCGTTTTTACTAACATTCTGTAAACATTCCTATGACAAGATTAATCATTTTTTTTTAAATTCAAGTTACATCAGATTCAATACCAATCCTAGCTAATTCTAATTCATAAAACTGCATATATGCACTTATAACTTTTGAAGAACAAATTAATTTATCATGATTTCAGCATAAAAATGTGAGTAGACACATTAATTCTGATCTACTGATTTCGCCTGTTTCACTGTTACAGAAAGCACAATCCAGTTATGAATGCACAATAAAAAAGGCGGTTAAAATACAACTAAGTATTTAATGACACTAATAATTATAATTAAAGTCTTGTTTGGTATTTTAATTTAGTCACATGAAAATCTAATTAAATTTCATAGAAAATTTCAGTACTGTAGAACACAGTGTTACACAGAGTCAGTCTTAATGAAATATGTTCAATGATTCAATAATCTTTAGTTACAGGTATGCAGCCTTCAAACGAACAAAAACCGAAGAGAAAGAAGCCAATAACCCAAGGAGTTTTTGTTTTAAATACTGTTACATACTGAAGGTTTTGCTTTATTGTTGCTTACCAGGGTTTTAAGGTCATATGTCACTGGAATCTAACCTCTTGACTAGCGTATTTAGCGTTTGTATGTACTGTTTTCTCAATACAAATCATCCTTACTGCTTAAAAGTATCAAACTAAAGCAAGAAGGATGTCTAGAGGTATTTAATCTTGAATGATTTAGTAGTTGATGTCGATTATCGACAGAAATTATTATGTCATTCACCAAAAATACCCATCCAGAAATGAATATAAGAACAAACAGTTCAGCGAAGAGTCAGTCACTTTTCGGCAGCGAATTCATTCCCTTCGCCATACAATCGCAATTGTTTAAAATTATTTTATGTGTGTGCGTGTGTGCAAAAGGTTTGTCAGACAGGAATATAAAACAGGGATAACTAAACTGTGACTAGGAGGGTATGAAGACTAGTAATTCTTAACCAAGGTTGCGTAACATGAAAGGCACACAGTAAAATAGGATGTTAATGAAAGAGCATGGAGACAATTGTCCAAAATAAATTATGTAATAGGTGGAACGAGTAAATAAAGGGTTAGTTAGAAAAAAAGATGTCACTAAAATGTCTTACAAAAATTCAAAATTTGTATTAGTAACAAAATAGTTGAACTTGAAATTGTACTCAAGGTAGAAGGTGCAGATGGAGAAGTGTCTACTGTGTACTTAAGTCAGAGCTTTCTATTCCGATCTCCTAGGCCTCAGCAGTGCAAAGTATATAGAAACTTACCGTTCTCAGGAGGCTTCTGATGACTTAATCATTATCATTATTATTATTTAGAGGTTAATCTAATCTCTAAACATCTCCAACTCAGTATTAATCTCATAATCTATAGTTTTGCCGAATTAAAGTTCTAAGATGAATAAGAATTCAACATTTAAAAGTGATAAATAGTCATGCGATGAGCATATGATCTAAATTTGTACCACGCACACTGATATATATACTTTTATTTAGTTATGTATACGAACTCACTCAATGAAGAGTAAGAAGAATAAAAATATTTGATCAACCTAAATGTCATACATGATTATCATTATGAAGTGATAAAAAGAAATCGATTTTTAGTAAATGTAGCATCTCTTATTCGTAATTCAAAATAAGAAACTAAAACAAAGGTGTCCTTCAGCATACTTCTGCTTTAATGAAATTACGAGAACTTATAAAGTGTTGATTGGAAACATATGATTAACAGTTTACATAATATCACTTAATGTGGGGGCTTGAATGACTCTTGAAATATTCTTAAATTTCCCCTAAGCACGTATAATCCAATGTCTATTGTGCTATAAAACATAAAAATGAAAAGTATATATACAGATGATTTTGTTGATGTTTAAGCTAGACTTCAAGTAGATTATTGATTGGCCTCATAATTTATAAGACAGATGTGCTGAATGGAAGGTTGAATGTGTTACATCTGTCTAACACGTAGAATGTTCAAAACACTAACCGTGTATATTTTAACAATGCCAAGTAATCTGTTAAGTACTCCGTAAAGACATGAAATGAGTATATGAATTACATTTTAATACGAATTCAGTCGTTTTACGTTAGCAGAAATGTATTTTCAACTGTACTGAACACACAGTAGAAAGCTTAGCAGTCTCCTTGTAATAAGTATAAGTCTAACATGGGGCTTCAACAACACATCTACATTTTCCTCTATTTCATGCTGTCCTCTTTAACCTAGCCCACAATTGTCCATTATCTCTCATCTCCTCCTCGTCACTCGATCTCTTCCATGTTGCCCTCGTACCGATGACCCCCTCATTGCTTACCACTGGGATTCCATTCGAGCGATATCCTACATTGCGCACGATGTCAACAGACTTTCTCTTCAGCGTATGCCCAGTTCATCTCCATTTTCTCCTACATATTTGTTGCCCGACCGATAACTGCTACCTTGCCGTGGTGGTCGGGCTTGAATGCCGCAGTGACCCAACAAGCTAAACTGGCTGAGACTCATGTCCCTGCAGGTCATACCATGTCTAGAAGGTTGTTTGGATAGCGGTTAGACTAAAAGCAGTTACCATGGGGTACATGGGCTCCAGAATTCAATCGGATCAAATGGCGTATGAACCCATATGGGTCACCGGCAACCATGGAAACGCACCTCCTGACGCTGCTCCGCTGCTTTGCGGATTAGACTCCAAGTCAAAGGCTCGGGAGGTGGTCCCTTAGGAAAACCACCTGCTTTGGTCTGGGCGCCCGGGCAGTATCTCGGCCCTCACACAATATTGTGTGGCGCATCTTTCTTGGTGCCGTATTGTACCAAGTTTTTCTGCGTTTATATAAAATAAAAAATAAAACATATTTGTTGAGCGATTGGTTCTTGGTTAGTTCATTCCCAGAATTTTCTGTCGCTAACTCTTTCTGGCCATTTTAGTTACGAGAAACTAACCAAGAACCGATCGCTCAAAAAACATGTAGGAGAAAATGGAGATGAACTGGGCATACGCTGTGGAGATAGTCTAATGACATCGCGCACAATGTAGGCCATCGCTTGAGTGGAGTCCGAATGGGAAATGACGAGTGGGTCGTCAGTGAGAGGGTAACATAGAGGAGATCGTGTGAGGAGGAGGAAGAGATGGGCGATTATGGGCAATCGTGGAACCAGATGAAGAGGACAGCATAAAATAGAAGAAAATGTAGATGTGTTGTTGAAGTCCTGTGTTATACTCGGGACCCAAGGGAACTATAATGAATAATAATAAATATTTCAAGAATTCTTTCGATGCCCATTCTTTAGAAAAATTTGAAATGAGTGAGGTGTAAATCCGAATATATGTGGATGTTCGGAATCATAATAAATCATGATAAAGACTGATCAGTGAAATAACTGAGAAGTCTCAGAGACGCTATTTCTTTTCAGTCCTAATCCATTTAAGTACCAAACTAAGTAGAAAAATTTAGTTAATAATTCAAAAAAGAAATCCTTCTTATTATTATCGTATTTATTTATGAAAAGCTTATTGTAAATTTAAATTAAGTTTTTGAGTTTGTAGCAATTTTTCTGTTACACTTCAATAGATTTTGTTATGCTCCATCAACTACATAGAACTAAAACTACTAGACCTTAAAATTATTCATCAAAAGGTGAAAACTCTTTTCATGAGTACGAATTCGGATTGATACGACTCACAATAGAATGAATTCACTGTATACTCACTCGAAAAACATTTCTAGGGAAACTTGTGTGATATACTGCTCAGGAAAAAGATTTATTCACAATAATAAAAAAGGGCGAATAGCAACACATAACTAATCAACTACTACAGCATATCCACATAGTCATAAAATTTTCTATACTTTTCAGTTTAGACCAACTGTTTATTCTCAGAACCTTGGTTTTTACTTTTAATATTTGCTGATTTCAACTAGTTCCAGGAGTCGGGAATAGAAGTGTACTGAATTTATTAGGTCTGACAGATTTCTGCTCTCCAAGTTTGTAAAAACTTGTGAAGTTAATCGGTTAACATAGCAAAAGTGAGTATTCAGTATCTGCCTGATGTACTGCTTTTCACCTACTCTGTTTTTCAGTCTCAAATTGGTTCTAACTTTAAAAAACCAAATCTCCATCCCGTAGTTGGTTTAAGAATTTTTCTCATGTTGCTTGTATTCAGCAGACACGTTCGTTGTCTTTGTGAACTCTTCCTCCCATTTAGCGTCTACATGACATTTATTTTGAAATGAGGCTTCTTGAAAACCCCTGAGATATTTCTCTTCAACCTTTTCCTCGTATTAACCTCTTTACTGTATTGTAACACATAAACATAGAAGCACTTGAAACAATAATTAAACAATATTTATGTATAAGTTGTGAATAATTAGGTAATTAAACAACAGTTGTCTGGCTTATCCACAGTTTCCTGTACACTGAGTGTAACACACATCCTAATTACTGCCTATCATTCCTCTTTTCGAATAAAGTTTCCACATAAAGAATACAACCTCCTCTTACTTTTACATTCAGAATACATTTCACCACTGTTTAATAAATTCTCGTCACAAGAAATTGATCAGCAGAGGCGTGTTAAATTAGCATGCACAATCTAGGCCAAAATGTGATGCTGAATTCATTGGCAAAACGCCAAGGTAGTGGAAACCATAATAACAGTTAACACCAAAATATCCACAGTAGCAATGCCTATGCAAAAGATATGCATAGGTATTCTTAGACCATGAGCAAATTACAATAGTATCCTATGCATAAAACAGGTCAACAACTTGAAATTAAGGTTTTCTTAATTCACATTATAATCGCAGTAGTAATCAGATATGGAAGCTCATGTTAAAATGAGTTAAAACCAAGGCGAACCACTCACTTTTTGAATGAAAAAAGTAGTAAGTCGATTCAGCTTTGAAATCGTTTTTAATTTAGAGCCAGTAATGGGTTGAAAATATTCAAAAGGCGCTAATTATGTCACTTGATGTCACACGGAGCTGTTATCTACTAAGGATTGTTGCGGCTAAACAAGAGGGTATTACTATAGCTATTTTAAAGAACAAAACCAAACTTTTAGAACAAAAAGAAATTCACCTGGACCTGAAGTTCATCCGTTGACTCAAAAATGCTTGTGTAATAACAAGGTTTTCCAGTTTTTTCAATAGTTTGTCATGCAAATCCGCAGTGACTAAAATTTCTCCATATTGCAGAAAGAGTAGAAACTATCAGTCTGACAAGCTGTTTTGCTAAGTCCGTGATCGCTTAACTAGTTAAGGGATGACTATGGTTAACAGTAGAATAAGTCGAGAAACTGACAGCTGGGGTGGACTTCTGGGCAGCTATTGTACTTAACTCCACTTTTTTTCAAGAAGGAATAAGAAACATAGACACCTCTTGAAAAGAACTGACACTAACTCTCTTTAAATCAAAGCCTGAATCTGACAAAAGTGGAATGTCCCTGCAAAAGCTATCAGTTTTTAATGCTGTGAAACATGCGGCATATTATGTTTGCAGATGATTTGGGAAATCCGCCCACCACTAGTCAAGTCACAGAAAACTGAATTATTATCACAGAAAGCCATGAGACACTGCATAGACTCCAGAATGTTGGACAAAGGAATTTTGTTCCCAAATGCGGCATCATGAACAGTTGCAAAGCAGTTGAATCAGTTTCATTATATCTGTCGTTATGAAGTACTATATATAATTAACCACACTGGAACAGTTTTCACAAAATTTTATACGTATCTCTTCTAAAAGTACTTTCAGCTATAAATTTTGAGACATGAAACATTTTCAATGCATACTCAACAATAACTTACTACGTAAAGCAACAGTTGATGGAGTCATACAATTTACTGAAGTAAAATTAACTTGTGGTTTACATCCATCATCTTCACATGCGCTGACTTTGTTATTCTGATTTGACTGGAAATCGAGTAAAAATGCGCCCTTATTCCCAGCTTTACTGTCATCCAACTTGTTTTCGAAACCATTTTCATTCCATGCCATTTTATTAAATTCTGATGTTGACAGTGTATTGTTATCAATCTTCATTCCTTTTTATGCACTGATTTGTACTGTGAGCAACCTTCGTCCAGGAAATAATGCTGAATTCAATTCATTGGTAGTGTTTTCCCATGACTGACTCTTCGGGCGTTATCACAAAAATACATTGAAAAGCCGGCAAATGTTTCAAGGTCGAATTATATTAATTGTGATACACTTAAACTTGAGATAAATCGGATCTATTCTTGGGAGCATCGTGTGAACCAAACTGATTTCTTTGTGCTCGCTTCTTGGTTATTAGGTGGGGTCTCTGATCTTCAATAAACTTCTGTACTCTTCCCGCTACTCGACTGTAGTAGCTTTGGTTAACTCAAAAATAGTGTTGCTGGGATAGATCATATACAGTTTGTAGTATGCGTTGTATTAAGAACGCGTCAGTAAAGTGAATGGAATCGATTTTTTCACCTGTATGTCGACCATTGTGGTCGAAAAGTGAGATAACAATAATGATAACAATGATTAGTGTAGATTATGTAGACTTAAAATCGAAAAAGAAGGAAAACGTAAAACATAAATAGTGAGATTCGAAACTGATAAAATGTGTATGCTAAGAATAATAATATAAGAGGATTGGTAGTTGGAGTAGTCAGAAGAGTGAGACAAGAGAGAATGTGGAGAAGTAAAAAGACAAGTCTACGGGATGCCTATTGATTCTGCGGGAGTTTTATAGAGTTAGACAGTTTGGACACAGTCCTTGTATCACTCTGTGATTGTCCAGACTCCACTTAAAGCTTTCCACCAACGATGCAGTAGCCACATCTGCTGGTGGAGAGTTCCGGGGGCGGCAAACTTGAAGGGAAAAGAAATGGAAGTGTCATCGAACTTTCCTCTCTGGTGAGGTTTCTTTAGTGGATTGCCATTAGGAAGCCTGCACGTACTGAATGGTAAAGTACCTTTGTTTGTATAATTCTGGTTATTTGTGATCTTATATTCAGTAGTTAGCTTACACCTAAGCAGACGGTAGCTAGGTGTGAAAAGACCTGATTTCTTCAGCCTTTCATCATATGTTTTATTTCAGAGACCTATCACCCGTCTTGTAGCCAGTCATCGGACTTTTTTACAGATAATTGGCGTCGCTTCTAAGTAACGTTTGAGCAGTGATATTGTGCACTTCAAAGTGTGGTCTTACGTGTTCTTTATACGACCATGGGAAAGGCTCAGGAGTGAGTGCACTTGTCTGTGCCGAAAATGTAAAGCCGCATAAGCCCTCGATACATCGCCCGTGTAATTCAAGCTTGTGTCCATTTTCTTCACTAGAACTTTACCCAAGTCATGTTCTGACGTTACACAGAAGAAATCATCGCAACACAGTAAGAGACTTAGATTCTGCGACCTACAGATCCACAGTTGCACTGCTAAGCAATATCTTAAGTTGAAACTCATATCACTGACCAGTGTCGAGTCCTCTACAATTTTCAGATCTTCCGTGGCCTCCCTGAGTCTTCCGGGAACCATAATGCCTCCCAGATCTCTAAGTCATCAACGTAAAAAAGAGCTGGACAGTCGAGGAGGCAAGGCAAGTCACCGATAAAAACCAGAAACATCAATGGTCCTGGGAGTAAAACGCTGTGATGCTCCCGATTCCAAATTGTACCAGGATGGACGGAAACGACTGATTTTGCTGCATAACTCACATTCGTCTATATAATCGTCAAATCATGAAGGAAGCAGGCCACCAAACTCGTCTGACTTATTTCGTGATGCAGAAGGTCGTGCTAAACTGTCAGATGGCTTCGCGAAGTCGAGTAAGATCATATAGGCTGTAACAACCCTTATCACAGCATGATGCCCAATCATTCCAAGCTGAAAACAGACTTGCCGCATCTGATCTACCCCTCTTGAAACTGCGCTATGCTTCAAGAGTATGTTAGTCCTGTTGAGGTGCTGTAACTTTTACCATCCTTGAAGAAAGTAAAAAATGATGTCGCTCTTCCACTCCTTGGACGGTCTCCCCGAATGTATGAAGTGATAGGAAAGGTTTCCCGAGTAGTGGGTTTTCTCTCCAACATGAATCAGTACTGCCTCTTGGGGTTTGACAGGAATGTTTTGGCAAGATTTGCCCTAAATGATCTCTTGTCATTGTTGACCATTGTATCACATTAGTTCTTTACTTCCAAGTATGCCTCACGGTCAATCTGGCTCTTAGACAGTTGCCAGAAAAGCCAGGCGCTCTGACTTGTTTGAAGAATACACCTCGTGCCTCTCGTCAATCATGAGGATGGCTTCCTAGTTTTTGATATTGCTAGAGGGACGATATCTGGGATTGCTGTGCTGGCGATCCCATTTTACCGTTTTCCCACATCCCTCTACTGAGGACGCCGCCTATTCTTTGAGCCATTCTGCCTCAAATAAAAGTCTTCGCATCTAGGCATAGTTGGCTTTACTTTAGCGCGGACATGGTCGCAATCTAAAGCGACTCATTGCGTAAAAACCAGATTTTTTAGCTTGGACCTTCTGACTATAGAGCATCTCCTTTTTTCATGTTATGAGAGTGAGTTGAGAAGTAAAGACAATGTAAGTGCCTTTGCCAATGGAAACTTTGTATTTTTCAAGTTCTTTTGTTTTCGTAGAGTCGTTCTTCAGATAAAACGATCGTCCGGAATTCCAGTTTGTATATTAATCGGTTTCCGTTATTTCGAAAGATGTCATGATTATAAGGATGTTCAGTTATTAGGTATTTCAAAATCCACATATTTATGATAATTTCTTGCAATTCAGTTGAATTCTCAACTTTCTCTCCTCAGTGTTTTTGAGCGATCCTAAATCTTTCTTGGGTTCTAGCAAAATACATTTACTCAGTCATCTTCTGTAATAATAATTTATAATAATAATTCATATTTCGTAATAACGGGTAAATTTACAAGAAATGCATGCCATTTTTACAGGCAGTATCAGTAATGTTATGAATTACAATCCTGAAGAATCGTAAATTAATACTTTTTCAAAAGTTTAAATTGTTTGATTATTGTACAAGCAATCAGAACAGGTTCTTATAAATGTTAAATTGTAAACCATTTACTAAGGTCACCAACAAAGTTGAGTGACAACTCAAATTTCTTTCCGTTTCCTGCTGATACTTATGGCCACCCAGTGAACAGCGTATATCTGAGTGGGTGCTATACCGCCACTTGACTGAACGCTATTTCAGGAAGAGAAGAAACTTCTGCTCAGCTGCGAAAAGGTATAAAATGCAATAATGAATGATACATTATTGGAAGTATAATTAAAAGATAAATACAAGAAGAAGAAGCTATACAGTACTTGAAATGATAGTATATATTTGCAATGTGTAATGCTAACCATATTGGTCTAAGCATGGAAACTATGATTTTTTCGACGAAGATATAGCTTTGTTCAAACACTGGTGTTGTTGTGTTTTTAATCAAAGCAACCAGACTTTGGGCAAGCAACAAATAGGAACAAAGAGCAAGTTTTAGCCTTAATAAAGGCCTAGGTAGTTAAGAGCAGATAGAATATAATAGTGCGTAAATAAAAAGATTATTGTGAGGTAGGTAAGTGAAATTCAAGTGAGGAGTCAATTCAAAGATCTGGAAAATTAGAAGCCGTAGATCAAGCTGACCTGTAAGATGTCTCACGAATTTCTGTAGGGCCCAATGTATAGCATCTTGACAAGAAGCTGAACAGGCTTGTAGATGGTAGGAGCAAAAGCACTTTCTATTTATAATTTAGATCTGTACAGCCCTTATTATTTTTTTTGAGGGCCCAGACTAATGTAGCGGCTGTATGAACCAAAACTTATTTTGTGGAGGGCAATGTGTGGCTTGTAATAGGAACTTATCACATCTGAAATCATCGCCGATTTTATTTGTAATTTGATTAAAGGAGCTTACTCCTACGTATGCAACATGCCATTTTCGTTAGGTGCAGACTATCTGAAATAACAACGGCTAAAAATAATGGCAGTAACACATTTCAGTGTATTAATGGTGATAAAGCAGACATTATTAAGTCAGAACATTGAAAATATTATCGTTACCCCCTTTTTGGTTTAAGTTATCAATCATTTGTATGTTTCCAGAATAGAAAAGTAAAGGAAGAGGAAAAAATCACACAAAGAGTGTTAGCACACAGGTCTACCCGACAGTTCAAGCAAGTTACGGTCCATGAAAACCGAAAACGTGCTCCGGGAGATGAAGCCAGAAATATGGATTTGGGAATTTCGACGAGATGACCTGTATCCCTGGAGTGTCTAGTGATTGTATTTCGCGAATGCCTGCCTCACTTTAGACATTAGTTTCTTGGGATACACTTTGAAAACTAGACAGAAGCCCGTTCAGTCCTTTCAACATACTTGCTCCTACAAGTGCATATAGATTTATAAATGCAGTTGGGGGTAACATCAGCAAAGCACTTATCCGGTTTGGATTGACTTATATTGCAAGTAATGCTGTATATAAAGAGGCTCTGAGAATTCCGCCGTTCTCCGAAAACAAATGGCGGGCTATGGGTGACTTGAGTGCAGTAAAACAAATCTGCTTGACAATGACCAACATTAATCTGCATTCAGTTGAGTTCACATCTGGTATTACTTGCAATGAAAATGATGTAAAAATCATAAAAATAAATCACTCATTTTAAATTAATACTCAATTTGAACATAAAACAAGATACGATGACGCACACAACAAAGTTATATGGAGGAATTGACTTCAAGCTTTATTTTTTTCCTGAATATTTGTAATTTATCCAACACATACTTGGTTTTTTTGTTAATGCGAAGACAATATTTCTATATTTCTTCATGTGCTCCATTGAACGACTAACTATCAGAATGTACTCACTAACTGATGTCAGAGAGGACAGCAACCATGTAATTTCACTATAAATCAAATTCATGTAATTTAAATAATACTTATCCATGCCTGTACAACTGGTGTGTCCCACATAGATAGGAAATATATATTATTATTATATTATTGTCTTTCCTCATTGTTTCGTTAGAGGCTTCTGTTGCCTCTGCCGTGCTA